TTCTTAGATCCTGTGCTGATGTCTTTGAAAGAAGGCTATAAGAAGTCCCCCAAAATGGTATTCAAGGCTCCCATCAAAGAAAAGAAGAGTGTGGTGGTCAACGGAATAGATTTACTAGAAAACGTCCCACCCAGGACAGAGAATGAGGTAAGAAAAATAAGTTATTGCCTCCACACACACTGGCAGAGCGAGACCTTTGCATTTCAATTATGAGCTTCAGGCCTTTAGGCCAGCTCGGTTCTGAGGCATTTTTCTTTCTGTGACAAATACCATAAGTAGCCTGCTATGGGCTTCTGTTGCCTCTGACCCCAATAAATAGAGGCTGGGCTATGGTAGGGATATTGACGCCCCTCCCCATTCCCACAAATCCCAGAACCTGGAGTTACATGTCCGCTTGTGAATCCATATCAGAATGTCGCTGTCATCTGGAGTTGTAAATTCCTGGCTCACGAGGGAAAGCCAGCCTCATGTGTTACAGCACTGCCTTCCTCGCTGGCATGGCAGCTGCCGCGAGGTCTGATGATTTCCTGTTTTTGTGGAAGAGGCTGAGTATTTATGAAAGTACTCTTTGTACCATTTGGAAAGGGAGCAGCTCTCTCAGGGCAACCAGAGCTGGGCCTTGTCCACACCCCACAGAGGCCTTGCCTTCCACCACACCCTTGGTCCCTGGCACAAATACAGTTCAGCTCGGCCAGGATTCATGGAATGCCCACTGGGTGCCAGGCGCTGGGCTGGATGCAGCTGAAGTGGAGATGCTACAGGGAGTCACCTGCATCTGGCTCTCTCATTTCCTGGCTGTGCCTGAACATGTTTCCTGACCTTCCTAAGTCCACTTCCTCACAGCAAAATGGGGAAATGAAATGCTGTGAGAGTTAAAGAGATCGTCCCTAAGTGTCTAGCACTTTTCCTGCTCACATGAAATGCACAGAGAGGCTAACTGCATTAGCTCTTGAGAAGGGGGTGACAGGATGAGATGGTTGGGTGGCATCGCCAACTCAACGGACATGAATTTGAGCAAGCTCCAGGAGACAGTGAAGGACAGGGAAGCCTGGCGTGCTGCAGTCCATGGGGTTGCAAAGAGCTGGACACGACCGAGTGACTGAACAACAAGAAACATGTAACCAATTACGCCGAGACTTAGGGGCTTAAATCCCACAAATGTTTTATTATCTCACAATGTCTATGGGTGCCTGTGACTCCGGGTCTCTCGTGAAGGTGTGAACTGTCAGCCAGGGCTGCAGTCACATCTGAAGACTCACCTGCGGAAAGATCTGCTTCTGGCTTTCCTCACTTGGTTGCTGGCAAGACCCATTTCCTCATAGGTTGTTAGACTAAGGCTCTCATTCCCTCAAGAGCTGTCAACCAGAGGCAGGTCCTTGCCACAAGGACCTCAAAACAGGGCAGCTCACAGCATGGTCTTGAGGAAGAGAGGGCGTCAAAGGTGGAAACCACAGTCTTTTCGTAAACTCACCTTGCAAATGGCATCCCATCACATCTGCCATATTCTGTTCATTAGAAGCAAGTTACTGGGTTCAGTCCTTCCTTGAAAGGAGGGGATTACATGGGGGCCATCTTACAGGTTTCTTGTCACACCAGCTTATAATTGTCACTGTTATTCATAAAAGTATGCTCATTCCTGACCTCTGAGGCTGAGTCTTAAAGGTAAAATTGACAGGTAAATTTTTAATTGCTATAAAATGTTTATGTGCCATTATAGAGGGATGCTCAGATTTCTAAGGCTGGATGAAACTATGATCAATGGGATTTCCTTCAAAATAATCACCAAGGAGAGTGGTACACGGGAAGTAGGTAAAAATAAAGATGAAGCAAGAGTGGTTACATGTTATTTGCTGAAGTTGGATGTTGGGTACTTGGAGGTTCATGGTGCTTTTCTTTCCACTTTTGTATATATTTGGTATTTTCTTTAAAAAAGATTTTTTTATGTACCCTGACAAGGTAGGCATAGTTGAATTGCTGTGAGCCTAGGGCCTTAATAAGAGCCTGAAGTTTGTTCTAGTACTGGGTGTGGAGAAGGCAGGGTTGAATAGCAATTACATGGAGTGGACTTGTCTATATGAATCAGAACAGAGGACCTGGAGAAATATTTCAAAGGGTCTCTAAGCAAACAACACAAATGCCACCATCTATACACTACAGCTTGTATTCTGTCCTCCCTGGGGAAAAAAACTTTTGCTCAGAGGCTGGTAACTCTTGTTTTACCTTTTACCCACAATTTTAATAGAGAAAACTAGAAACAATGAATGAGAAATTGGTTCAAGAGTGAAGAGACTACAGGTAGCTTGACACACGGGAGGAGACACAGTTGTACGGCTCTGTAATTTTACTAAAACTCACTGAATTGACCCTTAAAATGAGTGAAATTTATGGCATATGAAGTATACCTTAATAAATACATTTTTTAAACAAAAGCTGATCCAAAAAGATTATACAAGGAAACTTTGAGAACTTGGAAGGCATAGGTGTATGTAGAATTATTTAGTGTGGGGCATATTGCATAATATCTCTCTGCACAGAGGTAACCAGGACTGATTTGTTGGTTAATATAAATTTTTTCCAAGTCAGTTAAAGAAAGGATTCATATAAATGATATATACATTCTTTAAACAATTTCTTGTTGTTTAAAATAGAAAACATATACATTCATTCCACATGTTTTGATGTAGCATCAAGACCTTCCTTTTCTCTCAGGACATCCCAGTTGGGATCTTCTATGTGTTTGTCAAATAAATCACACTTTAACTCCAATTTCCATTTTCAGTGTTTTTTTAGGTGGAATGAGAACTTAAAATCAATCTGAAAACAAAGCTCTTGTTTTTTGAAAGTTTTCCCCAGTGTTTTTTTAAGACAGGTTTATTGAGGTACAATTGACCTACTGTGCAATTCATCCTTTGTAGTGTACAGTTCCATGAGTTTTGACATATGCCTACAGCCATGTAACCGCTACTGTACAATCAAGATACAGAATATTCCTCAATCTTTTATGTGTATATCATCCATACCTATCAGTAGCAACTTTTTAGCACCCCCTCTTCATCAAGATTCTCAAATGCATTCAACTTAGTTTTTATAGAAAGATGTATTTCTATTTCATCAGTTTATATAGTATTAAAATTATGCAATTACAAAGTCAGCTGCAACTCACCTTGGGCAGTCAGAGGACCAACACAACTGTCTGTTGGTAACATTCAACTCAAGTGTGTGGGGCCTTCAGGACCCTGCAGAGGCTGTGTTGTGTGTTCTGTTTAATGGAAGCCGTGGAGAGGCTGTTTAATCCAGGGAGTCATCTCAGCAAGGGTGTTGTCAGATTCCTTTACTTTGCTCATGGCCACTCCAGAAATGCCCAGTGCAAACTTTGGGGTGCTGTGGTGCCAGTCCCCCATCAGCAGGAAAAATGCCATTCTATATCCTGACCTTAAGGAAAAGAGAAGAATAGGGGGAGGACTATATGAATAGAAAGGGAACTATATGAATCTCAGGAATTAGATATTCTTAACTTCCGTGGTGGATCAGTGATAAAGAATCCGTCTGCCCATGCGGGATACACGGGTTCGATTCCTGGTCCAGGAAGATCCCACATGCCTTGGAGCAACTAAGCCAGTGCTCCCCAACTACTGAGCCAGCACTCTAGAGCCCTGGCGCTGCAGCTGTTGAACCCATGTGCCACAGCTGCTGAAGCTCACGAGCCTAGAGCCTGTACTCCGCAACAAGAGAAGCCACTGCAATGAGAAGCCTGCACACTGCAACTAGGAAGTAGCTCCCGCTCTTCAAAACCAGAGGAAAAAAGCCCAGGGAACAACAAAGAGCTGGACAAAAATAAATAATTTTTTTTAAAAAGAGAAGGAGATTATGTATAAAATAGATAACTAATGAGAACCTACTGTAAAGTAGAAGGAGCTCTACTCCGTGCTCTGTGGCAACGTAAATGCCAAGGAAATCCAAAGAGGAGGGGATATATGTACACATAACGCTGAGTCACTTCATTGTGCTGCAGAAATCGACACAGCAGTGTAAAGTAACTGTGTGCATGTGTGCATACTGTCACTTCAGTCATGTCCAACTCTTTGCGACCTTCTGGACCATAGCCCATCAGGCTCCTCTGTCCATGGGATTCTCCAGGCAAGAATACGGGAGTGGGTTGTCATGCCCTCCTCCAGGGGATCTTCCCGACCCAGGGATTGAACCAGCATCTCTTACATCTCCTGCATTGGCAGGTGGGTTCTTTACCACTAATGTCGCCCTGGAAACCCCCAAAGCAACTATACTCCAATTTAAAAGCAAAAAGAGAGAGCCAGATACAAAACATTTCAGAAAGCTTTCCATTCTGAATGGTAAGTAAATAAAGTATTAAGACTTGAAGCCCTAAACAGGTAAGCTTAGGATATCTGGCCCGTGTGGACTGGGCCCTTCCTTGGTGATCCTGGATCAGGGTCCTTTCTTTTCTGCCTCACAGGGTGGGGTGGGGATGGGCATGGGTAGGAGCAGGAGTGGGCATGGGTGAGCTGAGTCTAGAGATGGGAGAGCGGCCATCCCTAGGAGTGGGGAAGGGGTGGGAGGCCTGAGTCAGAAGAACAGCGGCTGCATAGGGGGAGGGGCGGGGGTACGGATACCGGCCCCCCCGCCCCCCCCGCGAACGTCACCTTCTCACCTGTTCTCTCCCACCCTTCTGGCCCCTTCTCTCGTCCACACCAGCTCCTCCGAATGTTCTTCCGGCAGCAGGATGAGATTCGGAGATTGAAAGAGGAGCTGGCCCAGAAAGACATCCGCATTCGGCAGCTTCAGCTGGAACTGAAAAACTTGCGCAATAGCCCCAAGAACTGTTAGCTCCCCGGCTGGGCTGCTTTCTAAGCCGATCTCTCCATTGTTTCTACTCCTCCCTTGTGACCCCAGAGAGAGCACCAGGACTGGAGCTGGGGGAGAGCCTGAGGACCCCCCACCTGCCACCTCAAGAACTGGAAACTGACCTTTGACCTCTCAACTTCATGCTAATACAAGTCCCCAGCCTCTCCCAGCGTCCAGGCTGGCAGCCCCTTTCCCTGACAGCCCCGGGGCCTCGGCTTCCCCTCGACTGGGCAAAGGCCATGGACTCCCCCGGACGAGTGCCCTCTGTGGACCAAGGAGGGGAGGGGGAAGCCAGAACCCCAGTAGACTTGGAGGTTGAACTTGCCCCCGGCAGAGGGGGCTGCCGGGACATCGCGCTCCCTGCTGGGGCTCACGATGGCCCTGCTGGACGCTCAGTAAGGGCTGGATTGCAGGCATCAGCGGTCTCCCTCCCCTCCTGCACCTCCCTCGCCCTGGGCAGCCCCGGAAGCCCATTCACCTGACCAGGGCTGCAAGCAGCCCGGCTCCTTCCTGTCTCTTGCCCCTTCTCTCTTATCTTCAGGGAATTCAGAGGATCCTTCACCAAGGCCATAATGACCCCTTGCCCTCCCCTGATGCTCGTCAAAGCTCTGGCAATGCCCTTTTCCCCATTCACGCTATGAGGCAGTCAGGGTAGGGAATAGTGTCCCCATTTTACAGATGACAGAACTGAGGGTTGCTTTGGGGAAGTGACAGCACTGAGTCAGCCAGCAGGTGGACAGTGGACCCAGGACCAGTGGTGTGCAGACTGCAGGCCCCGGCGCTTCCCACTGCATCAAGATGCTAATCCCACGGGGGCATCACCAAGGCCCAAGTCTCCGTGGAGCAGAAGAAGGACCGGGAGCCTCCCAACACCACTAGTGCCAATGTGCCACACCCCTCCCCCGCACTCAGTATCCCTTCGACCTCCTGGCCCCCACCCTTTGCTCTGACCCCCCCAGATGACTCACTCCGAGATGAGGCCTCTTCCTCCTGGAGACTGAGGCTGAGAAGGGTGGCGCTGGCCCCGGGAAGGCAGTGCAGTGGCCTGCCGGCCCCGAGGGCTGCTCTGCGTGCGTGTGCCTGCTCCCTGCTCTCAGCCACGGTCAGCCTTATGCTTGTAGAACAACCACAGCCCCTTACACTGGTGTAGCACTTTAAGGTTTACACAGCCCTTCGACATATAGGATCCCCTTTGAGCCTCATCTCAGCTCCCAGAGGCAGGGAGCATTCTCCCCACTTTGCAGTTGGAAAAACTGAGAAGCCTCTCAAGGTCACAGGACCCTGGGAGATGCTCCATTTCACTTGGTATTCTACCATTTTCTTTTTTTCCTCCTTTTCTCCCTCCATTTCTCATTACTCACAGAGTGTGTGAACACTGTTCTCAGAAAAGTCACAGTTTGAGGGGGGAGATCTGGTCTGGGGATCAAGAAATGGGTGTCTACACCTCTCTCTCATTAGCTTGAACCTACTAGACGCGTTGTGCTCTGCACCTGCTTGTCCCACGGCCACCCTGCAGAACTTCTATCCACATGGGGGGGCTCCCTAAGCCCCTCCGAGTGATCTGGGCAGGGAAAGCCCCCCAAACCCTCAGGCTTTTCCTCCAAGAGCCTTCTACCCTCACAGCCAGCTAAAGCAGGGTCTCCTCACCCCCCAGACTCCGCAGCTAGACTGCGTCAGCTCACATCTCCTCCTCCCCACACTTCTGAAGCTTTTTTTCTTCCCCACTGACCGTTGTGGTCTTCTGTGATTATTTATGCTGCCTCCCAAGGATAGAATTGAAATAAAATGTTTTCAAGTTATCAGACCTGGGCACAGCTGGCTCATTTAACCTGGGTGGTCCCTCCTGTTGGTCACCAAGGTATCTTGATGGCCAACTCCCCAGCCACAGCTCTGTTGCTTTTCTGCAACAACAAACCATGTCTGCATCTACAGGTGTGACTTCACACCTCAGCACTGTTGACATCTGGGGCCAGCGGATTCTTTGCTGTGAAGGCTATCCTGAGCACCATCAGCTATTTAGCAGCATCCCTGGCCTTCGCCAGCCAGATGCCACAGCAACCCCAGCCCCATCGTGATAAACAAAAATGTCTCCAGATATCACCCAGTGTCCCCCCTGGAATGTCAAAATTGTCCCCAGTTGAGAACCACTATTCCATGGTTATTCAGTAGGCAGCTGCTCCACATCCAGTCCTGTGTTGGCGTCTAGAGGACACCTACATTTTACACTGGAATGCTGCTTCACAGTTTACAAAGAACTAGTCCATGTACTTGACTCCTTTGATCTTCACAGCCGCTCTAAGTGGTGTGTTCTAATTTTTCCCATTTTCAAAAAAAGTAGTCAGGTCCAGAATGTGACCTGCTCCATCAAGGTCATTTAGCTGGTGTAATGGGGAAGACACACGGGGACATGGACCTCCTGGGCCCAGAGTCAGAGGAGGCACGTGCTCCCAGTCCTCAGCCAGTCTCAGCGCTGGGCAGGGTCTCTTCTGGAAGGAGGGCTAGGGCCCATCATGTGACAAGGGGCTGCCAGGCTGCTGGGACACCCTCACTGTCTCACTGAGCCAGGGTTGTCGTGGAGCAGAGCTGTCAGTCTACAGAGTGGATAGTCATGTGACAGCTTGGATACCACAGAAAACCCCAAAGAGAGAAAAGCAATGAAAATCTCAGAAAAGAGGGCTGGAGAGGAAATGATAAAGGGCAGTGGAAGAGCAGGGGGCGTGACTTGGGATAGGTAGGGCGTGGTCCAGGCCCAGCTCCACCTCTGACGGGCTGTGTGACTGAAGTGATTCACTGCTCCTCTCTGGGCTTCACTTTCTCTATAAAGTGAGGGTGTAGGACAATTGGAGGGCCCCTTAATGGTCTGACACTTGAGTTTCCATGAGTTTCTCCTAGCAACTAGGAGAATGGGACAAAGCCCCAAGATCACCAATTGTCTAGGATGAGTGGTGCAAACAAGAAATAGTTTCCGTAAGATGTTATGGAAAAATCCAAACAAACTTTTTGGCCAGCCCAATATCAGAAGGGAAGTAGTAGGGTGGCTTCCGACAGGGCTTGGGTGGAGAAATATACTCTAGCTAAACATGCATTTGAAAAAGACACCCCTAGAGTTTCTGATGTGGATCAATTCACAGTTCTGGGCTTGAAAGAAATGTTAAGGTCATTGAGAGTTTGGCCTCCAAAGCTCCTTCTCCAGGGATGCAGGAGAAGGTGGGTGGAGCAGGGTCTTTCACCAAGGCTTCTCCCAGCCTGGGCAGGTGAACACACACAGTGATTTGTCTCGTGTATGCCTCTGTCCAATGGGATCCTCAATTCCCAGTCCAATTGGGCAGCTCTTTAATTATCACTTATTATGGAAGGTTGTTCAAGGTCAGAGGTGAATGTGATTTCTCTCCAAGCAGCCCATTTCCCAGGTGCATTTGTTGATGAACACATTGCTTGCTCATTGGTTGTCCACATAGGTCCTTTAGTTCTTCACATACTAGAATATGCTCCATGCCTCCTCATTCATTACACTGATCCTGCAACCAGTTACAGCCTCACCTACCACATTGCTCTGATTAGTGTAACTGTGTAGGAGAACAAGCCCATCTGACTTTTCATACCTTTTCTCAGCACCATGTTCCCCACCAGGTGCTTGCTCCCTTCTTTTCTCCAGGTGAGAATGTCTGAGGCTAAACTCCAGACCCTTTCCTTTATGGAGAGGTCCCTCTGAGCACACCTAGAACTCTGGTCACACATCCCCCACACATACCAACACCTACTTGGATTTTCAGCTCAGTCTAATTCACCTTGAGGGGCTGAATCTACTCAGTACTGGGCTCTGGGGACCCAGAGATGGGAAAGAACCAGGTTTGCCCTTGAGGGGAACCAACCAGTGGTCCATCAATAGGCATCGTGTCACCCAGCGGGATGTGGAACCCCCTGGAGGCTGGGGTGAGTTCCACCATCTGCCGGTTTCCGGGTGAAATAGGCAGTTGTTTGGGGATTTACTGACTCCTGGATTCCCTTCAGTCAGCCTCCTGAGATCCCAAGATGGGCTTGAGCATTTTTAGATTCTCTCTTGGTGCTGGGCACACATCCCAGACTGCCAGTGGACCGTGCAGAACATGGCTGCTTCTTCACTGTGGGAAATGATTTCATATTGCAAACACCTCCACCGCAAGGGCCCTGCCCCTCAGCTTGGAAGGCTGTGCTGACCAGGCTGCCTAGAGCAGGAGCAGACGCTCACCTCCACCACAGGAAGCCTTACCAGACTCCTCTCCTCTATCACCACCAACCCAGGTCTGCCAGCCGGAGGAGGAGGGGAATGCAGACCCTTGGATCAGGGAGGGGAAGGGGGTGATGCTGGCAGAAGCTTCTCGTTCTCTGTGCCTCTGTGTTTCTATTTGAGAGCAACCTGCAGACTGTCTTCCCTTAGAATTTTAATTCAGTGACAAACTCAATTGGATCAGCCTTACTTAGAGAAGGTGAGCAGCTACAGGGTCGGGTCTGCAGAGTTCTACGAAGTTCCTGTCCCAGTCCTTATACCTGGCTGTCCCGCTGCCTGGAATCCCCCCATTAAGCACAGTCCCTTTGGGCGAAGTTTTGCCCTTGCCAAAGCCCTCTACCTATAACAGATTCCCTCGAGTATTCAGATGCTATTGTGAAGAGGGTTGACAGATTGAAGGAAGGAAACAAGGGGGCAATGAAAAAGGGGCGGGTTCAAGTGGAAGGAGGGCGATGGGAACACTGAAGACTTAAGATTTTGGATTTCAAGGTCACAGTGATTAAGGCAAGATTCAAAGACCAGGAAGAGTTTGCTAGGAGCTTGAATCCAGCCAGCAGGTGGCAGATTATGGCCTTCTTATCGAGCCCATTTTTCCTGAGCTGGGTCCCTTCTGCCACCTCCCATCCCACCCCAGAATGAATGACCTAGTTATAGGCACAAGGGCCTCATGGCAAAGCAGGCACACAGAATAGCCATGATCTGAAACGCCCCAAGTACAGAAGAAGGTAGGCTCAATGGGGGACAGCAGGACCCTCGCTGCCCCAAGTTGCTGTCGACAGGCAGCTGGAGGAGTTATCTGGCGATAGCCAGAGGGGGGCGCTCACCTCACCACCCTCTGAGGCTGCCTGTCCTGAGTAGCTGGAAAGACGCTGAATCAGGGTCGCCTTCCCAGCTGAGCCCCTGACTCTGTGACCTTTAGCAGCTCCCCGCTTCCTGTCCCGCCCAAGGGACAATGGCAGGGAGGGGCCTGCAGAGTGCAATTCAAAGAGGCCTGGAGCTGATGAGATGGCAGAAGGAAGAGCCAGGAACCTGAGGGGAGGGGAGGACCGCCAGAGAAGGAGGAGCAGGGGTCCAAGCCAGACCCCTGCAGCCCTGGTCACAGCCCAGCCCGGGCCTGCGGCTCACCAGCTTCAGCCCCACACAGTCTCCCGGAAGTTGCTGATGAGAGAAACCTGAGCTGCATCCCAGGCAGAGATACGGCCCGGGGGCAGAGGA